AACACAAGGGTAACATAAACAAACGTAAACAATGTAGTGGACAAGATAGATAATGAGACAAAGGCGATATGAGCAATGAGCACAAATATAAATGAACGCCAAAGCACACTCAAACACAATCAAATGATCACGGAGTTCAGACCTTCCATCCTACGTCTCCACTCCCCACTCCCGGGGAGAAATCCACTATCACAATCGGGTTTTTTATGTTCACCCGAATAACGTTCACACCTCACAATATGGTTTTCTAGTTTACCAAAAACTCTACAACTAACACACTCTTGTAATCCCACTCTACACCCTCTCAAGTGTTGAACTAGACGTGTCTCCCTCAAGTGCTCGGATACAACCTCTCCCTAGGTTCGTCAACCGAAGCCACTCCTCTTGGGACGATCCCCGACTCTCTCCACACACTTCTCTCCACAAGTGTATTACAAAGTGTATCCTCACAATTAGGCTCAATACAATAAATGTTTGTTCTCTACTATGGATGAGAACACAATGAAAGCTCACACTCAATTGTTACAACTCTCACCAACCCAAAAATACTATGTATGAAAATACAATAAGCTCAAGTGGGTGTGTGTAGACAATGAGTGAAATCAAATCAACTAAACTCAATATAAAACTAGCTTTAATAAAATAATAATCAAATAAATAGATGTAAAGCTAGAAATAGAGTTTAGAAAACTTCTCAATAGATCAAGAGGTAGAGGGAGAATAGTTGGATGCCTAAACACCAATAGATGATCTCCTCAAGCTCTTGTGAAATTGATTTTACAAACTCAAACTTTCAAATGCTTAAAAGTTTCTTAAACCAAACTTAAACCTTTGTTTAAAACTCTTTAATCTTGTTTTAAAAACACTTTATTGTTATGGAAGAGCTGAAGGCAATGGGGTATTTATACCCACTCAAAACATCAGCAAAAACCCAAAACAAAATGACCAAAATCCCACAGAATCCAAAATCAGATTCTGTATAAAATAGCCGTTGGAGTATACGACGGTCGACTGTGGAAAACTCACGGTCGACCGCAAGCCAGCTTTGAAACTCAGAAAACTTTCAGATACTTTGGCGGGCGGCCCGGGGGGGGGACCATCGGCCGCCCGCGAAAGTTTCTGTTGGCTCCGCAGGCTAAAAACAAAGGCGCGGTCGACCGTGATGGTCGACCGTGAACTGATACATGAACAGAACAGTTTGAAAGTAAAATGCTGATTTTAAAACCCTGTTTAAAAATATTAAATAAATTCAGAAAAATATAAAACTTTGGGGAATGATTGTAGACATGATAATAAATATGCTATAAAGACTGGTTTATAACAAGGACTTTCCAAATAAGAAATATCATTATTTTGCAAAATAGTCCAAAACACGAAAATGTAAACATATGAATTTTGACATTTAGGCTAAATCATGTTTTGAAACTTTACACAATAATTATGTAGACTTATAAAATATGAATATGATTAGTGTTAAGTCCAAAAACTAAGAATATAATATTTTTACAAATACAATAGAAAATGAAACATATGAGTATGTATATGAAAATATATTTGTTTCATATCTAAGTAGTTAAACCAAATCACAATAATAAATATGAAATATGTAATTTCATATTTATAAACATAAAAATCAAAACTTGTGTTGTATATATATATGATTACATATATATACAAGGAAACCAATAAAATGTGTGTGTATATGATATTGAGCTTAGAGTATCTAACACACATAATATAAAACCTAAACTAGATTACCCAAGCCGATCTTGATCTTCAATAAGCTTGACGTTGTACACTATGCGGATGAAGCTAAACTTGGATCTTGAACTTGAATTGCATAAGTTTCACTCCAAAATTCCGCCAACCTCCATTTGATATTGTCGTTGAAGCTCTATTCCATCCATCCTCCAATAATGTTGTTTGTCTACAATAAATAGAAAACACAAATACTAGACAAACAACATTAGGAGTAAATTGTTTGTTAAACATCATCAAAACAAGAAGGCCAACAACTCACGTATCGACTCCCTCAAATGAACACCCAATTCATTTAACCGAGAACTTGCATACTTCTACCTACAGTGTTTGGCATAATGTGCCTGTGAACGAGTCCTTTTGATAAGAACCCATTCTCCACTCGAAGGTTTGAAGGAAATAGCAGTAGCTTGTCGTTGTGGTGGCTGGATTAAATGACGCTTCCTAGACTCCAAGTTTACGTAGTAGCAAACTCCATCGAATTGTTCCAATGCTTTGGCAATTCAACGAGCCTGGCATCGGCGTCGCCTCTGACGAGCCCTCTTCATCAGAGTTGGCGTACTTTGATTGAACAACTCCTTTATTGGGGAGGAGTTGTGACGAGCAGAGTCATTTGTAGCCTTTTTCAGCGAATACGCCTCCTTCAAAGACGAGATCTTTCCGCACTTGCAGGGAGAGGAGGATTCTAATGAAGACGAGGAGAAATATTCCTCGAACTTGGCTTCGTCGAACTCATACTCGACTTCTGAATCAACTGGGATCTTGATCAGTGGCTGTGACACGACAGCCTAGTCAACAAGGCTATTGGATCCCACTATGGTCGCCAGCGTGTTTGTGTCAAAAGTTTCCTTTTTCATTGCCATTGAACCTGTTACAACTGTTTATCGATTACAAGTTCACAAAATAGAAAAATCGATCTTTTATAAGATCTTCTTACATAATAAAAAATAAAGATTACAACTTTGTTAAACAATACACAGATCTTATTTATTAGTCTCTGTTTGTGTGTGATGTTTACCTGTGTCAGGGTTTATCCGTGGACCGTCTCGGATCGGATCTGGTTGATAGAATGATTAATTAGAGATCTTACTTCATAAAAGAAATAATCGCTAAAGTGATAATCTTGACCAAACGAGATTATGACTCTTCTCGAGATCAAGACCAAGCCTGATCTCAAGGAATGAGGGGACGGGCCTCAGATCCTTCGAAACGCTCCTTCTTTATGACGGAGTTCGCCAAAATCTGCTAGCCTCTCTCAAATTCGTCAGAACCTCGCCCTAGCTCCTCTAAAATTCGTGACTCCCTTCAGATCTGCCTTTATAAGGGTGCTAGGGGTATATTTATAGGCTTTAAATGTCGTGTTTATGGATATGAATGTCGTGTTTATGGATAGGGTCGAAGAACAACCGTTATTATCAGTTTAGGTGGGTTTTTGGTCGTGTAACAGCTTCCACATTTTTAAGGATAACCCCACATGTTTATGAATGACCCCAAGGAGTTCTAGAAACCAATCTTATCAGAAAATACGTCGGGAGATGACCTGGGCGCGAGTCACTTCGATTGTCTCGCATATGTCTGATACAGCTTGGACTATCTCGGGTATTTTAGTTTTAACTCTCTCGTCCGACCTCGGAATGAGATGATTCAAGATGCGTTAGAAATCTGATAAAGAGAGCTACAACTTTGTCTTTTGAGATTCTTTATATTATAATCGAGTCATGGTAAAAATCTCCATTTTTCTCCAAGACACACTTTGTGTCTCGCTGGTGTAAAAGAGCCTGAACGGTCTCGGGTATTTTGGCTCTAACTTCCTCGTTTGACCTCGGAATGAAGTAATCTAAGGTGCGTTAGAAAGCTCGCGAAGATCTATACAACCTCCTATGAGCAGGACATCCATGGGATGAGTAAGACATGATTGGTTCTTACTCCTTTGTGGGTGAAACGTAACCCCAGGTCGAGTCGCTTCTTCGTTATTGTACCATCTCGTTGATTTGTATATTTTATCAACTCGCTTCGTATGTTTGTTAGCTTCTCTATAACATCAGATAATCCTTCTTGATTCAAATAATGATGTTTATTATTTTCTTTTCGTCTCGAGCTGCGTGTGGGAACCTATAGGTAATTTTTAACGCCTACATCAGCAGATGAAAAAAACTAACTATTCAACACTTTATGAGTTAACTTATGATAGGTATAAGTCAACTTTATACTGTATCAGTCGACTCATTGATTTTTTAGTCGACTCAACAGGGAAAAAACACCTTCTGCGCAACACTATGAGTCGACTCATTATTGTAGCAAGTCGACTCAAAACGTGCACAAAACCTGAAGTGAACAGTAAATATCAAATTTGAACCTTGTTTAAAAATATCAAACAAATTCGAAAAATATAAAATTTGGGGAATTGTTTATAAACATATAAATGAACATGTTACAAAAGAAATTTTCTAAATATCATTCACCATTTGTGAAATCTCTTCGTTTTGTAAAGCTTGTAAATACATGTATATATATAAACTTCTTTATTTTTGACTTTTGAGTTAAACACGTTTTGAAACCTTTTCAAATGGTTTTATAGACTTAATAAAAAATGCATAAAGTGAAATTTAAGTCTATAAACTAGCAACTCAACATTATGTCAAAAATACTCAAAAACAAGAATTGTGTGTATGTGTGATATTGAGCTCAAAGTATTATCACACGATATAAAATTCTAAACTATTTTACCAAGTTGATATGCACATGAAGCTTGATCTTGGATCTTAACTTAACTTGTATTTGCTTTAGTTTTAATACAGTTTTTGAATCATTCAACCTGGGTTAAACAACAAACCAAACACTAGAAAACTCGTTATAAATTATTTGTTAAATCATCAAAATAAGATTAGAGTCTAGGCTCATAAACATGAGTCCTAACAATCTCCCTCTTTTTGATGATGACAAATAATTTTTCATTTGATATATAGAAGTAATAAAATCAAAACCAAAGCCATAATACTCATATTTTTCTCTCTCTTTGGCAACATCGAAATGGAGAAAAAGATAAATTGGAAAGCTTAAGATCCCCCTACCTATAAGCATGGGTGAGTATAAACATAAATAGGGATTGCTCCTCCTATTTAAAAACCACATAGAAAAAGAATGAATGAATATGGTCAAGAGAAACAACATGTATATGTGCATTTTCCTCACAATAATTAGATATAAGTGCATGATATAAGAGAGAAAATGTAAACACCAACCACACAAACATATGATAGAAAGAACATAAGTGTTTACAACAATACATCTTTTAACAGCAATAAATCACATAGTTTAAAAACCTTCAAACCAAATACACATAGTTTAGTACATGTCAAAATAACACATAGAAAATCACAAGTCATAAAAAACCTGTCTCATGGATCAGATGGTCCTGGACCTGGAGGAGGATAAGGGTTCTACATCATCCTAAAAAGGTCATCAAATCTACTCTCAATGCGAGCCCTATATCCATCCTGATGGCTCCTCAAACCAGCAATATCTCTCCTAATCTCTGCCTGGGTGCTCTCAATCTCTTCAAATCTCATCCTAAGATCGATTTGACTATCCTCGATCCTTTGAAACCTCCGCTGATCATCATAATGCTAGCCTTCAGCTTCGGCGTGAAACTCGGATATATGAGAATGGACTCTCTCTTCTAAGCTATCCATATGATCAACAATATAACTGGGGATGTTGGAAGAAGATCTAAGAGGGAAATGACCACCATCTCTAGAACTAGATCCAGAATGTGACGACTCTCTAGATGGTTCAAAATCAGAGGACTCAGGAGAAGTGTCACAAGCTGGAGGATTATTCATCTCAAACTGTGTGGCAGGAATACTCATCCTATGAAGAGTTGTGACATCAAAGAGGGGTAGGATTTTAAAAGGGGTTTCGTTTGATAACTCAACCTCAAAATAAGTGAAGATCTTGGTTAATATGGCCCCGAATGGAAGGAATGGGGAAGGATCAGTGGCCATAATATCAAAAATGACATTGAACCATTTGACATCAACATTCCTAACAATGACATAGATACCACGAGTGAGTTCTTGGGAATAATGACTGTAGCCCCCAGTTTTGGGAATAAAATTGTAACAAATAATTCGGCCAATAATTTTGGCCAAATCAGATGCAGTCTTAGAATTCAGTGGAAGGTGTTTATCAAGAAGAGTTAAAAGAGATTCAACACCAGGATCATTATATATGACATCATTTAGCAAAGTGTCTCCTAGTGGAAGGCCAATCATTTCTGATAATTTATTAGCACAAAAACGAATATGATGACCCTTGACACTTGATGTAATGTAGGGGATTTTAGGGTTAGTTGAAATTACTTGTAAGTTTGCATAGAACAAACGTACAAGATGGGGATAGTGAGGCACAGACTTATTACTAGTGAGCAAATCAAATAGTTTAGCAGCTTTAAAGTAGTTGCTCAAGAAAAAATGATTAAAATCATCAAACTTAACAAATCTCCTGGGAAAAAGTTTTAACTGACACAGTGAGTGATATGTACCAATTAGTGAGGAATCTCTAAGATATCGTTCATAAAATTCATAACTGGTCTCGGGAGGAGGAGAAATAGGAGCACGAGAGGACGAGCCTTGCCCTCTACCAGATCTAGCATGTTTGGAAATGCCTTTAAACATGATGACAATGATAATGTAGGCTAAAAATAAAGAGAAGCCCTAAACTAGAATGCAAAGACAAACCCTAAAATAATAAACCCTAAATGAAAGCGCTATTGAACAAAGATAAGAATAAGAAGGAGTATACCCAACAATAAGAGGAACGGGAGGCTAGAAGATGGCTGCAAAAGTCTGGTCGGCTAAAAGAACGGAGGAAGAAGGCAAGGGCTCGGTCGGCTTGAAGATTTGGGAACGAAGAATGAGCTGGGAACATAGGGTTTGATAAAGAGTGAAATGAAAGGTCAGGATATGGTCAAAAGACATGTGGTCGGCTCAGATTAAGTCCTAGAAATGAAGTGGGTATAAACGGGTCCAAAACGGGTTAGATCAAAGACAAAAACCAAAACCAAATCCGAAAACAGCAGCTCATCAGTCGATTCATGAGTCGACTGAAGACCTGAAAATTGGTTTTTCCAAAAAATTATAAACTGTGATTTAAAATCCTTAAGAAGTTACAAAACTTTGTTTTTATTATATTAAATGATTTCAAAATAATTTATACAATAATACACTTATACATAAGAGTATACATCAAACTTTAATTTGAAAAAGTTTGATAAATTCTCATTTAAAGCATGAAATTAAAATCCATCAAAACAAAACATGAGAACCAAAAAGAAGTCAAACCAAATCAAACTTGTTTTGGCACCAAAACATTTTTAGTGCCGAAATATGTAGGGACATGATCATATCATTTAAGCTCAAGGCCATTGGGTTATAAACCCATTTGGGCGTATGTGGTGCATGAATACGGTCAAAATAATAATTATGCAAATGTCCTTTATGATTGCAATATGTGCAATGAAAGGGTTAAAATGATTTGTGTTGACCTAGTGGTTGTGCACAGGAATCATTTGCAAAAATAGATTGTTCTTTAAAATTATTTTACAAATGAGAAACTCTTTTTAAATCAAAACAAAATTTGGTCAAATGACCAAATCTACCATAATAATCACACTTAAACACATAAGCATGTTTATGATAAGCAATGGGTGCATGTGCATGTGTGTGTGATGAAGAAGCCTTATGAGATGCACAAGAAGTATTAGTCCTAAAAAATTTGTGTGCATCATAGCAAAATTTAGCTAAATGGCATTTACAATCGCAAATAGTGTATTTATAAATATTGCTATACATGCGTGCATAGTGTACGGGTGATTTGGAAGAATTTGGTACACGACTTAGCACCCATATTCATAAGTCTCTTATAATTATCAATGCATTTAGTTAGTGTTGAATCTAAAGAGGATATACGTTCTTTTATGTGATTCAACTCATCATTAGGCATATGTGCATTGTTATTAGAAGTAGAGCAAACATAATCATTTACAAATGTATCCAATTTATTTTTACTAGCTTCTACCTCTAACATGGCATTGTTTTTATCACGAGTCAAACTAGCAATATCTAATCTTAATTTTTCATTGCTTTCTTTGAGATTTACATTTTCATTAGCAATGGTATCAAATTTTGATACTAGTGTCTCATGATTGGATTTCAAGTCAATATGCTTGCTTTTAATATCAATAAAATTATGTTACAACTTCTTATAATCATGCATTAATTTTTTATATCCATGGGTAAGTTCATCTATAGTTAATTCATCATCGGTATCGGACTCGCATACCTCACTAGGGCTATCACCTAGTGGCCATGTACATGAAGATAATGCTCCACATGAACTTGAAGAAGAACCCTTCAAAGTTTGTCGGATTGCCTCCAAGTTCCATTGATGTGCTTCTATAAGTTTCTACAATATATAAGCACTATCAAAAAAAATCAAGCTTGTTAGATAAAGATGAATCAAAAGCATTGTGAATAAAACTTTCTTAGTAGTTAGGAGTGTTAAATGTAATGGGGTATATATAGGGTAGAAGAAACCAGCCCAAGAAACCATCACAAAACAACAAAAACAATGAAAAAACACAAAGTCTGGAAAATAGCCGTTACCGTGTAATGGTTATATTATGAGTCGACTTATGACATGCATGAGTCGACTTGTGTCTACATGAGTCGACTCATTGGATTATCAGTCGACTCAGAAGATGAAAACAACTAACTGTTGAACACTTCATGAGTCAACTTATGATATGTATGAGTCGACTTTATACTGTATCTGTCGACTCATTGGTTTTTTAGTCGACTCAATAGATTAAAAACACATTCTGTGCAACACTTTATGAGTCGGTTCATTACTGTAGCAAGTCGACTCAAAACGTGCACATAACCTGAAGTAAATAGTAAATATCAACTTTGAACCTTTTTTAAAAATATCAAACAAATTCTAAAAAATGTGAAATTTGGATAATTGTCTATAAACATATAAATGAACATGTTACAAAATAAATTTTCCAAATATCATTCACCGTTTGTGAAATCTCTTTGTTTTACAAAGCTTGTAAATACATGTGTATATATAAACTTCTTGATTTTTGACTTTTGAGTTAAACACGTTTTGAAACCTTTTCAAATGGTTTTATAGATTTAATAAAAAATGTATAAAGAGAAATTTTTTAGGGGCCTGTTTGTTTGCCTAAAAAAAATTGAAAATCAAAGAAATGGAAAACTATTAAATCAAAGAATTGTTTTGGGAGTGTTTGGTTTGCTAAAAAAAAGAAGGAAATCAAAGAAATAAAGATGAGTTGTCACCTTATTATAGGATGATGTGAGTGATTTTTTAATAAAACTTGTTTTGATGTTGTTTGGTTGGCGAAAAAAATAATGAAATAAATTATAAGAAACGTTTTGATGTTGTTTGGTTGGCGAAAAAAATAATGAAATAAATTATAAGAAACCTATTTCTTGTAATAGCTTGTTTTCTTTTGCTTGGTTATTTCTTAAAAATAAGAAAATATATGAGATGAGATGAGTTGTCATTATATTATTGGATGATGTGACACACACTTAAGGAAATTGTTTTTCTAGCTTTTTGGGAGGAAAACAAAGAAATGAAATGTTAACGAGATGAGATGAGTTGTCACAATCTTATTAGATGATGTGAGTAATTTTTAAATATGAGATGAGATGAGTTGAGTGATGTTATGGATGAAAATAATATTTTATTAGATGTGGTGGATGTGATGGATGAGTTGTTGGATGAAAATAATATTTTATTAGATATGATGGATGAGTTGTTGGATGAAAATAATATTTTATTAGATGTGATGGATGAGTTGTTGGATAAAAATAATATTTTATTAGATATTGTGGGTGAGTTTTAGGGATGGAAATGTGTGAAATTGTACTTTTTGAGTTTTCTTGGTTTGCATTTCTATTTTTTGGTTTTTTAGGAAATAACCAAACAGCCCCTAAGTCTATAAACTAGTAACTAAATATTTTGTCAGGAATACTCAAAAACAAGAATTGTGTGTATGTATGATATTGAGCTCAAAGTATTATCACACAATATAAAATCCTAAACTATTGTACCAAGTTGATATGCACTTGAAGCTTGATCTTGGATCTTGACTTGACTTTTATTTGCTCCACTTTTAATACAGCTTTCGAATCATTCAACCTGGGTTAAACAACAAACCAAACACTAAAAAACTCGTTATAAATTGTTTGTTAAATTATCATAACAAGATTAGAGTGTAGGCTCATAAACATGAGTTCTAACATTGTCATCAGAAAACTTGACTTTAGACAGCATTGACTCATCCAAATTTACTAACAACTCCTTTCCGCACATGTGACTAGAGCACATAGTGTCAAGAAACATGTGTTGTAATTTGATTCTTCATCAGCTACCGTGACCATCAATAAAGTTGTCACGCCCCGCTTCCCAAAATACCGGGGAATCGGGACGCGAGCAAGCCCGCGACGTATTAAACTGAGAAGAGATAAGTGCTAGA